AATTTAAATCTTAAAAAAGATACATCACTCCCAAAGAAGATTTGGAAGCAGCAAATGAAAGGGAAAAGGGAAAGTTTTTTTTCTTTCACTCTCCTTCCTTACGTTGACAGTGAATAGAGATGAATGAGAAATTGGAAAAACCCGTTTTGGCATCAAGAGGTAATTAAACTGGATAATTAAATGTCAAGGGGACAATAAGGATTTCTGAATATAAAAAAAATAATATTTTTTTTTGGTAAGTGGGAAGGGAGAGGAAAAGAATAAGAGTAGGATTTGGAAGGAGAAGACTGCCTGGAATTTCAAAGATTCTGATTAAATTCTAATAAGACTTCTAAAAGATACATCTTAACTGGAACTTTGTAACTAAATAGTAAACCCAGGAAGAGAAAGTGAAAAAAGAAGAAAGTGTTAAAAGAAACAGCTTGTGTGTATTTGGATTGCTTGGTGACTTTGGAACTTTTGGAAATTATATTTGAATGACTAAAAACACTTGGGTGGTTGTTTGAAATTTTTTTTTACAATGGCATCACTTGTGGATGAACTGAAAATGGAATTTAAAAAATATAAAGAAGAAGAAGAAGAAGGGAAGGGCTCTCTTGGCTCCATTTTTCAATTCTTAGAAATGGCGATTTGTACCTATGAGAAACTACAAGAAAAGACTGCGCAACTAGAAGATTGGGACAAAGAAGAAGCCATCTTTGATGAACAAGTAACTTTACTTAGGGAAGAAGGGGGAAAGGGGGGAAAGAGAATAGAGACTTTAAGACCCCAAAAAACAACCCAAAAAGGGAAAAATAAGGTGAAAAGTGGATATGTTAGAAAGCAACAGGAAATGGGAACACAGAAGAGGGAAATGGAGATGGAGAGACAAGGGGGTAAAAAGGACAGAGAGAAGAAGCTAGGGAGGAAGGAAGGGAAGAGAAGCTACAGAGGTGTGGAGCAAGATGTAAAGAAACAGGACTTATTTAGAGTAATGGGTAAAAATTTAACTGAAAAAGTGATTCTGCAAAGGTACATAATATTGTATTGTTATATTTGTAGTAGAAATAATGTTAGAAAATTGGAAATAACATATGATTAAAAAGTGGGATAAAATAGTCAGTGTAATTTAGTGAAACTTTTGTGAACAAAATAAATGAAATGAAATAAATGAGAGAATTGAACTAGGAAGGAATAGGAACATTTTAATGATATAATGTTTTAAAATATGACTGAAGTGGGGGGGAAGTAATTATGGAAAGTTTATAAGTGTTCCCATAGAAGTATGATACTTATTTGAAAAGTAATGTGTAAATTTTTTAAGATTTAAATGAATACTAATATTAACAATAGATTTGAATTGGTATGGATTGTTGTTTTAATTATATTATATATTTATAATTCTTTCTCTTTTTAAAATATAGTGTGTAACTTTAGAACGTACTAAGCAGAATCCGAATGGAAGTTATGCATTATACTAAGTGTTATAAATTTAGGGGAAAGATATAAAGGCGTCATACTCCAATCAGTGATTACAGGAGAAATTTTGTTTAATGAGAAAAAATAATAGACAGCTGGAAACAGGACAGACAAAGAATATAAGTATAATGATCTGAATTAAGATGAAATAAATAAATAAAATAAAATTAAGAAAGTTAAAAGAGGGTAGAAGCTATATAGAAAATGCAGAATGGTAATAAGATATGGAATGGTATATAAAATGAACATGAATTTGAATTTGTGTCTGCACGAAGAGATGTAACCCGGGATCAAGCTGCTTTCAAAAAAGATGTTTTATGTTTTGTTTGTTTATGTTTGTTTTTAAAAATCAATAAAAAAATTATTTAAAAAAAGGTTACAAATTAACAGACAAAATGGTTTAGAAGCAGAAGTGGTATTCAGCGGGTTCTGACCAGTTCTGGAGAACCAGTAACAGAAATTTTGGGTAGTTCGGAGAACTGGCAAATACCACCTATGACTGGCCCCACCCTCAACTATTCTCTGCCTCCCGAGTCCCAGCTGATTGGCTGAGTCTTCTTCTGTGTTGCCCTACACAAGAGAACGAAGCTGGAAAGCAGGTTAGCGGGATATGGAGGGAATGGGAGTTTGCAGTATCCTTCCCCTGCCACGCCCACTATGCCATGCCCACCAAGCCACGCCCACAGAACCGGTAAAATTTTTTGAATCCCAGTACTGTTTAGAAGAATATAAATATACTATATCTCTGTAATAAATAGCAATTAAATAATTAGATTCTAAAACTTCAACTGTTCTTTTTAATATGCCTAGGAAAATACAAAAATGTTTCCTTGGTGTGAAAAGAGCATAATGCAGGTATGGTAGTGGTATCAGAGAAAACATCCTTTCTCAAATTTTACTCTTTTGCCACAATGGATAGGTGCAGAAATACATGATTAGAGAAATACATGTTTCTCTAGAGAGAAACATTGAGAAATGCATGTTTTAAATAGTCATTTATCCTACCATTTTACTGATTTATGAGATTATTAATCAAAACATCAAGTATATATTAAAAACAAATGCATTAAAAAAGCTAAGCATGCCAGTTCTGCAGAAGCAGCATAACAACACAGAGACAGAAACAAAATTAATCACTGTAATTTGAAATCACTGGGCGAAGAAACTATTGTTTACACGGGGCAGCCAGAAAGTTCTCAACATGATATCAAGCAAGTCTTTTAAGAAAACGTTTTATTAGTACAGCAACCATTGAAAATGTCTTTCCAGCATCTTCAAATGAAAGGAAAGACTGGAGGATGAGGATGATTAACAGAATGAGCAGGCAGTGGAGATAGGTAGTTTTTGGATAGTTGCTCCTAAATGCCCAAAGTTCAGGGCATGTTTGCTGCCAACAACAGCGCTGGGTTGTTATTAACGGGCTAACAAGAATCTCTTCTTTCCACTCCAATCTGCAGGTATGCCCTACGATTAAAATAAAAGAGCTGCCTGTGAAATATTACTATGATGCAGTCCTAGGAAATGAAAGAGTGGGCAGAGTATGCTTATTCAGGACAACTTTTAAAATCTACTATCCTACATAAGCCAGCCAAGTGTGCTTGATTCAACAAGCCACGATTCAAGCTAGGTTTTTCCAGTGCATCGTGAGAAACTAGAGTATTTTTTCCTCTCTCTCTCTAAAATGAGTTAACAAATAACAGATAATCAGAGTTGGAAGGGACCTTGTAGGTCATCTAGTCCAACCCCCTGCCCAAGCAGGAGACCCTACACCATTTCTGACAAATGGCAGTCCAATCTCTTCTTGAAAGTCTCAAGTGATGGCACTCCCACAACTTCCCAGGGCAAGCTGTTCCATTCGTTGATTGTTCTCACTGTCAGAAGGTTCCTCCTTATTTCCAGGTTAAATCTCTCCTTGTTCAGTTTCCATCCATTATTCCTTGTCTGGCCTTCAGGTGCTTTACAAAATAGCTTGACCCCTTCCTCCCTGTGGCAGCCCCTCAGATATTGGAAGACCACTATCATGTCTCCCCTGGTCCTTCTCTTTACTAGACTAGCCAAGCCCAGTTCCTGCAACCATTCGTTGTATGTTTTAGCCTCCAGTCCCCTAATCATCCTGGTTGGTCTTCTCTGTACTTTTTCTAGAGTCTCAACATCTTTTTTATAATGTGGTGACCAAAACTGGATGCAGTACTCTAGGCGTGGTCTTACTAAGGCTTGATAGAGTGATATTAGTACCTCACTTGATCTCGATTATATCCCTGTTAATACAATTTAGGATTGCACTAGCTTTTTTGGCTGCTGCTACACACTGCTGGCTCATATTTAGCTGGTTGTCCAGTTGGGAGTTCTATGACAGAAATGGTTCTTTGGACTTTGTGGACCTTTTGCATTATTTTTCTTTGATCAGAGCACAAAGAACAGAACAGGCCAACGATTGGAGAGCAGCTGTTGCCTTCTGCCGTGGGTACCCCCCAAAATGATGAAAAACCGAGGTGGAGACGGAGGCAGAGGGGCGGGAAAGATCTGGACTGCAAAGCCCCAGGCAACTGCTGGATGACAGCGTTATAAAGAGATACAAAAGCTTCATCTTTTTTTTTTTTTTTTTGGCCAATTGGCGCTGTCCGCAACATTGTAGCCCAGATTTACTAGTGGTAAGGAGGACCTACTTTGCATAATATAATATAATATAATATAATATAATATAATATAATATAATATAATATAATATAATATAATATAATATAATATAATATAATATAATATAATAT